ATTTTCCACTTCACGCCCACGGTTTTGCTCCAAACCAGCATATAGTTTTCCAGCCCCCGGTTTTCATCATTATTATTATTATTAAATTTTTTTTTTTGTAAAAAAAAAAAAAAAAAAAAAACAACAGGCAGAAGACGGACTGCATTCCTCCCCACTACACTTTTTTTATATATTTCCACCAGGTGGTTCTCTTCTTTGCTTCCTTTTTTTCTTTTATTTATTTATTTATTTATTTTTTCTCTTCTTTGTCAAAAAAAAAAAAAAAAAAAAAACCAACAAATGTCCACACACACTCTTTTATTCCTGTGGGGCCACCCGATCACCAATTTTACATCAAAAACAAAAAAAACAAAAAAACAAAAAAAACAAAAAAAAAAAAACAACAACACAACCCCACACACACAACCCCAAACAACCACATCCACCAGGCGGGATTTTTCTTCTCTACTCTGCACAGCCGGTCTCTCTTTTTGCCTCCGTCCTGGCGGTCCTTGACGGTGCTGGCCTCTCTGTGCTTCTAATCCACCAAGCACATTCACTCCCCCCTGCTCCTCCACTGCAGCATATGGCGGACCTCCAAATCGGGAACATCACGGTGGCCTTCCGCTTCAGCTCCTTGTTTCGCCTTTAGTACACTTATTTCGCTTATCTCTGCTCGCGCATCCTTATACATGCGTTGGAGCAGAGCCAGTTGGGCGTTTAACTGCTGCACCTCATTTGTTCTACTCTGCAGCCGGTTCGACAAGTTTGTGACCGCCGTCATGCGTTCCACACATGACTTCAATGTATACTGATTGGCCTCCACATCTGACTGCACTGCCATTCTTTGCTCCACAGACCGCATCGGAAAGTTCAACAGAGCAAACTCCGGGGCACTTGGTTGAGGTTCCAGTGCCACCGCACCAATTCTCTCTCTTGTTGACTCGTTCAGGTCGGGAAAGAGGGTGAGCAGTCCACGGGAAGACGAGGCCATTTTCTAGGCAACAAAGTGTTACAGACTATTTTCTGGGCAACAGAGTGTTACAGACTATCTCTCTCAGCAAAAGGGACTATCTTTCTCAGCAACACGAAGGATTTTTCAGAGGTTTCTCTCAGTTTTTCTCTGCCTCAGCCTCTGCCTTCGTCTTGGTTATATAGCCAAGGCAGACACGCGTATTATGCGCCGCTCGGCGCTAGACGACAACTTGGGCGCGCAAGCCAAGTCACGCGCCTCGCCATCATGTCCGGCACACCTTTTTATGGATTGGGCACGCCTTTTGATGGCACGCCTTTTGACAGATCGGGCACACCTTTTGAGGGTGCGCCTTTTTCCAACGGTCCGACATGACCCCATAAACTGTCCCGACATTGATTCCGGTTAGCTCATCCAGTGTCCTCTACCACGTTATGACACCCCATCCAGTGTCCTCTACACCGTTATGACACAACCATCCATTGTCTTCACCAACGGTCTGACACGACCATACAGTGTCTCCTATCCTCTTTTTTTTTATGTATTTTCTTGTTTTGTTACTCTCTCCAAACTCAAGTTGGTTAGTTCCTATCCTCCTTGAGTTTGCGGGGACTGTTAAAACTTATCACCTACCACCAAACCTACCATCACCTACTCCACCTACCACACCTACCACTTCACCTACTCCCCTTCACCTACTTCACCTACTACCTTCTTCTCTTCTATATAATCATTGTAAAGATAACAAATCTATACATCAATCAATAATACATACAATTTATCTCTATCAATATATTTTACATTCTGACCTATTTAAATTTCCTCTAAAGGAAAACAAAGGAATGGGTGTGGAGCATGATTGGATGGTGTAGAATGTAGTAGGGGAAGGAGAGAAAAGAAACATACAAAGAGGCCACGACCTGAACACAATTTATTAGTCCAAATTTGAATAATACAATGCAAAATCTAATATTTATATATAGGCCATTAACCCTAATTAAAATAGGAAACTAAATCTTAACAATATTTGACAACATAACCAAAATATCGTAATTAATAATTATTTAATTTCTAACTAAATAATAATAATGTTAGTAATAATAATAAAATCTACCAACAATAATTGTTGGACCAAAAAGTCTCTGATCAACACAATGGGCCCTTGGGCTTCACCTAATGCTTTCAAAGTGGATAATTAACCTCTAACCAATTGAGGGTTGTGCCATCATTAGGATTGTGCTTTCGTATACACAAGGGAGAATCTACATGATTTATGGAAGCAAATTCAGTGGGCTATGAGTAGAATGTTCAAAAACTTTATTTGTCACCCTTTTCAAATCAACAAGGTCGTGATTTTTGGAAGCAATAAGAGAGAAAGTGATACTTTTGTAGGCTACCAGAGGGTGTGTGGGTGTGGGTGTGGGTGTGTGTGTGTGTGTAGAAGGATTAGTAATGATCTAAGAAGGATAGACATTTCTAAGAAGGTAACGTCTAACATGACACGGCACTCGTCGGACACTTTCCAACACTTAGACAGACATAAAACACATTACAAGTTTGAATTAAATTACTTAGAATCCAATGAAAAAACAAAAATAATGTAAATTTATAATTATTCTACTCCTTTGGACTTCGAAAATTATTTTCTTGGACTTGAATATTAATATTTATGACATAATAATTTCATAAAAATATATAGTTTACATGTATCTCCCATGTGTTGCATCCTACATTTTTTTAAAATGTTTGTGTTGACCTATTTGTGTCGTGTCACATGTCATTCATGTCTATATAACTAAAACTCCTGAAATCAATGTATAACTGAAACCCATGAAATCAACAAATTTCAGAGAGGGAAGGAGGGAGGGGGAGAGGTGGTTGAATGATGGTGTTTAGAAGCATGAATATAGATGGAAAGTTAGTTGTGCAAAAAATAGCAAAGTGATTGAAGTACGAGGGTGTCATCTTGCATCACGACTGTATCGTGGGTATAATTTTGGGATCATTGTATGTGCAATGAATTATTTTTGCTTTTTATGTTGTTGGATTACCTTCTTAAATAAATCCATGACTCACTGGGTTGCATGCAACAGCTTCAAGGAAATCTTGGATGATTCTATCCTATGTTCTAGATATTGTACAAATACAAAGTTTGGTTAGTTTGACCGCCCATTTCCACATCTCTCCTCCTCACACATTGGGTGCCCTCTCAAATGACCTCTGGAAGAGGATAAAAGAGGGCCGTGAAAATAACAGCTCTCTACTATTTATTAATTATGTGTTGTAGATTTAGTATCCAAGTTCAATTACTTGTTATCATTTCTTTTGTTGATGCATCTCTTAAGAGTGGCAGTCACCATATTTCCAAATAACTGTCCATCTTGTTTCTTCATTCCTACTGCCTTACAAATGCTTGTCTCTCTATGAACCAAGGCACCACCCTCCCTATCATCCATAATGAATTTTTTAAGGGCTTTAATATTAATTAATAATTTATTTATTTAATTTACATGCTTTTTTTTTTTTTCCCCCTCTGTAGGTTCTTGACCTCAGCGTGGATCTTAGTGCTGCTAGTGCTGCAGAAGAATGAGAAGAAACCTTTTAGTTTGTGCACTGCATGTAATTGTGAGATTTGTTCTTACTGAATTCATTCCATGGGATGGATTGCCACATGTTTTCTTCTTGGGTCTTGTTATTGAGAGTTAGCTCGAATTTGTAACTTGGTTTTCTCTATTTCATTTTACAGAACATCATTCATAATCAATCTTTGCTTGTTTTGAATCTTATGTGTAGAATTGAGAATTGCCTCGGTAGCTGAGCGTGTGGATAGTTTAATTGTATAAGGGCATCTTTGGTAGTTTAAGGGCATGTTTGGTTCAGTTTTTTGCGAACTGAAAGCTAATAATGAAAATGCATAAGCTAAAAAAAATAAAAAAAGCTATAAGCAGTCTCATAAGTTACACCAAACATGGCCATAGCTAACTTGGTAGTTGTTGAGCAATTATAACTTAGTGTTGGATCTTGTCTAAGCAGAGGATGCATTATGTTTGCGTGTGCTAAGAGTGGGAATTTTTGACATGATTTGAGCTCTACACGAATTTAGCGAGTTAAAGTTGATTATTTTTTACATGAATACGATTATGACATGAGTCAGTAATATTAATATTAAATAAGTAAGTTGGTGTAAATCTTGCATGAAACAAAGTTGACACGAATAATATATTTAATAAAAAATTAATTATACATTTTAATATTACTTTTGCGCAGGAGTGTCATCACATTTTTGAATTCCTATGTATTCCTATGTCACGTCAACAGATATCTAAAATAAGATATTAGACTTAGTTTTTTGTTATTTTTTAAATTGAAGATAATATATTTTTGTCATTTATTTTGTAGTCAACCTAGTAAAAAAATATAATAATAGGATATGATTTCCATAATTTAGGAAATGGAATTGAGTTGAATATTTCTATAAATAATTTTATCCAGCAAAGATTAGTTTTATGAAATTTAACTTGAAAATTCACAACACGATAACAACTTTGAAAAATGTTACAATGTGCATCTCTTAAAGGTGCATGTCATAAGAAATGTTAACGATTTTTACATTGAAAATTACTAATTTTTGTGATGGAGGTTATAAATGGTAAAGTTATGATATGTACACCTAAATTTATGAATGAGAAAATTATACTTTTGTGGTGGTAGTTACTAATTATATCAGGGACGGAACTAAGATTTCATTATTGGAGAGGTCAAAAGATAAATAAATTTTTTTTTTCACCATATACACAAACACATGTATATAGAATATGATATATAAATTATATATATACATAAAAAAAAATTAAACATCGTTGAAGCAATCTCTAATAGATGAATAAGTTTTTTTGGCACAAAATAGAAAGATAATACAAGTTGAGAGAAGAATGAGATATATATTTTTTATACTAGGGGGTCATTTTATGTATAAAATGATATATATATATATATTTAAAATGCCACGACAAACAATATTTTTCATAGAAACAGGAGGTCATGACCTTCCATGGTCTTCTCCTAATTCCGCCACTAGTCATAACCAAGTCGTAATTAATACTAAAATAAGTTATAACCAAAAGCGATGTGCGTTATAAATTTTTCCTACATATCTTACATAAATATTGGAATAGTGATGCTTGTAATCAAAAGTAAAAAGAATAACAACTAATAGATGTGAAATTGTTGGTTTGAAGGCAAATCTTGATTTTATTTATTTATTTATTTTGTATGAAAAGTGAGCCTATTTTTGTTAGGATTGAACTTCATGCAAGAAAAAAAGAAAAAAAAAACAATAAATTGTTAATTACTTACATAGAAAATAATGAATCAACTTGTGCATATATTTATATTATTATAAGGAACAGCCAACAATTAGTGAATAGTTAAAGTGACAATTAATTGTAGAGCTTAATTTAATTAATTATGAAAAATAATAGCAATTCATTCATTTGTTTTTAGCTTCATTTGTACAACTTTTGAACACTTTTTTTGCTTTTGAAGCAAAAATCGAATTAATTTTTTTATATATTCATTTGTACCACTTTTTTACACGTCTCTTTTTATTTTTTTATCAAATTATTGTGATTAATGGAGGTTGATGGACTTGAGAGGAGTATAGAAGATAATGACATATTGTTAAAAGAGCACACACCAAGTCTTGGAACTGAGTTTGAGTCAAAGGAAATTGCATATCAATTCTACAATGAATATGATGGGATTTAGTATTAGAAAAGATTATCATACGAAAAGCAAAAAAGATGGTATGATGGTTTATAGAAAGTTTGTTTGCTGTAAAGAGAGAGAAAAAGATAAACGAAGTGAAATGGTAAAACAACCTTGACAAGACACAAGAACTAATTGTAAAGTATTCATGTATGTCTCTTTAGATCGGGAATTATCGAAATGGGTTGTTACAAAGTTTAATGATACCCATAATCATATTATGCATCTACCTTAATGTGCTCATATGATACCATCTCAAAGAAAGGTTTCTAAAGCTCAAGGTATAAATATGGAAGTAACTGATGCTATTGGTTTATCACTCAAGGCATCACATGATCTCATTAGTACCCAAGCAGGCGAGAGGGAATTTGTACGATTAACGCGTGAAGGCCAAAAGAGCTACTTGCGTGTAAAAAGAATTGTTCATCTAAAGACAAAAAAGTTTTAGTGAATGAGGTTGATCCTAAGTTGGTGATATGAACGCGTTATAGACATCTTTGTCCTAGAATGGTAAAATTAGTAGCTCGATCATCTGAATATGATACCGTATATGAGTTTGTGGACAATAGTATTTCTGATTTGTGTGTAAAAGTGGACAACATGATCATTTCACTAAACAACTCAAATGCTTCAAGTAGTGGAGGCTCCATTGACATGAGATTGAATGATATTGATCCAAATTTTGAAAGAGTTAAGGGTTTGAAAGAGAAAGACAACGTACAAAAGAGTGGTGGTAGATTAAAGCCTTAGCATGAGAAGATTGGAAAGAGGACAAAAGTTGTTTCACGACCTTACATCACTCAGGTATTAATCTTATTTAGCTATGTAATTTCTATATTTTTTATTTTTATTTATTTATCTTACTTTGTGCAATGTACTTATAAATACTTCAAAACATCCACAGAATATTGACCAATATAACAACAATATAGATGTCCAAAATTCATCTTTAAACCAACCACATGTGAGTTTTTCTTTTATTTTTATTTACAATATATGGTGCAAATGTAATGATAATGACACATTGTATGTACTAATAATTATTTAGGATGTTCAGACACCTTATTGGTCACAAATGATGAATTATGGGTATAATTTTTGCAAGTATGACGTTAACTGTCCACCATCACACCCACTATTGGTGTTTTTGTCTTCCCAAGTATCATATAGTTCACCAATTTCTCAAGTATTTAATATACTTACATTTGAAAGAAAGAAAAAAAAAATAGTCGATAAATTTTATTCTAAATACATTTTCTTATATATATATATATAAATATTTTTTTTCCAGGAAATTTCAGTTGATCTAACAGTGCAAACTCCCATGAAGGCTCCGTCATATTTGGATAAGGATGAATTTGTTAATTTCTTTAGCAATTCACAACCACCCCCACAAAATTGAAAGAGATGACATTTGATTAACATATAACTATTGCCTTATCATTACTGTAATTTTTTTACTTTCCAAAAATATTGGGCTCGATCATATTATTGTTTATTCATTTTAATGATTTTGAAATTTGAATTTTGGATGATTTGGTATGTGAAGGAATTGGATTTAGAATGACATTGAATGTGTTGGGTGGTTCACAATTTGAATTTGACTGTATTTTTTTATTAATTTTTTATTTAATTTAGTTGTTACAATTATATATATGTAGCTACATGTACTTTTTGTATTATATGGTTGTTACAAGTTGTATAATTGAAGGACCATTTGTTGCAAATGCTCATATTTCAACATTGATTTCCTTTTAACATTTAAAGTAAATTACATCTGCAGTTCCTAAATTTTGTCGCTTGTGTCATATTGATCCTTACACTTTCAATTGACTCAATTGTGATACTTAATTTTTTAGATTTTTATGTCAATTTCATTCAATTGATAATGACATTAAGATTTTTGACGAAAAATAATTACTAAGTTAATTGATGTTAACTAAGTAAATTAATAAAGTTCATAAATTTGTCCCTTACGTGATACATGTTGCCCCATATGCACATTTTCATAAATTAAAAATAAAAATAAAAATTATAATGAATTGAATTGAATTAAATTGGATAAAAATTATAATGAATTGAATTGAATTAAATTGGGACAAAATCAAAAATATATAATCAAAATCAAAGTAATTAAAATTACATGAATTAAAATGACAAAAAATATATATATATAAAAATATCAATACAATTTTCCCAAAAATTTATAAGAACTAACGGCCACAGCTTGTGTTTCTTCTTTCTTTCTTTTTTTTATATACTTTTATTATTTTTTACAGCTTTTCCTAAATTTAACCCAAATCTAAATGTTGTTCTACAGCAAAGCTTGACAGAGTGGGGTCTAGAATGTAGCGGAAGGAATTGGTGGGTAGCAATTGACCTAAATTGACAGCCAAGAGAAAGAGAACTCAAACGGCTGAACTGATTATGATAGTTGTCGGGCTTTCCTCCATTCAATGCGCACACACCACTTGCTCATCTTTAAGGTCATGTTTGTTTGAGCGGACTGAATTAGCATTCCCATGACTAATAGTCCTAGGACTGCGAATCTGTTGGATTATGTATCCTATCTTAACTAATAGTCAAGTTTAAAATAATTAGTCCATACTTCAATTGTTTAACCAAATATCGAATTAATAATTTTATTGGACTATTAGTCTAATCCCAAGCTCATGTCCACCCAAACAAACATGGCCTAAGAGTAAATACATATATATTGCTACCAACAACATATCAGAAACCGAAACACAAAAAGCAAGGCATAAATTCTGCTTATAGATGAATTAAAATGGCTGCCCCACTCCTCCATGTGCAATTTGCATTATGAAGACAGGAAGGTATCAAAAATTCCAGAAGGAATTAATTGTTATTACATATCGGCAATTTAAGAGTAGAAAATATAATCCAATCCAATCTATCACAAACAATAACGATAACGACAACAATAACCATAGTCTACCTTATTTCAATTAATAATTGCTTCAGCTCAGGACGGAACCAGGAGAATACTACAAGAGATTGTTTCTTATTTCAATTAATAACTTTGTTTACCATAACACTTTTAACATATATATCTTATTTTATAACTAATAAAATAACCTCTTAATATAAAAGATTTATATCTCATTTTTCTACCATCTTACATTCTCTGTTTTTTTTCTTTTTTTCTTTTTTTGTATGAAAAAAATTTATTTATCCGAAAAGAGATTACTTCTATGATATTTGGATATTTTTTATGCATATATATAGTTTATATATTATATTGTACATACATACGTGTATGGTGAAAAAAAATCATTTGTCTTCGGCCCCTTCGATGATAAAATCCTGGTTCCATCCCTGCCTCAGTGGCATTTAACAAAGTGAGAAATCCAGCTGTCTCTCATCTCAGAAATCTTTGAAAACAGCAAACAAATCACCACTGATGTAATCATTATCTACCAAGCTGACCAAGAAGTAACTGCTCTGCACCTGTTAACATAAAAATAATGACAACATTACATTAATCAAATCTAATCTACTAGAAAATTTCAAAATTCATGGTTAAAAGGAAACACAATAAAATCAGCATGATGATCAAGAAGATGATGAGCAAATATGAAGAAGAACACAGACCTCCTCGAGCAGATTTCTGGATGGGTCAGCCTCTGGGTATAATTGAGCCCATCCTCTTGACCAAATCTCAAATGCCTCATCCTTCCACACCATAAAGCTGGAAGGATCCACCACAGTTGGTTGGATGATCTCCTTGCCTGGGAATACTCCCCATGTCACCGCATTTACATCAGTTTGGCTGACGTTAGAAATCCAGATTCCATCTTTGTTCACAGCCATGTACGTGACATACGGGAAAGCGTTGCATTTCTCAACAAGAGCATTCAACTTGTCCTTGGAGCAGAAAAACTCTACGTAGGCCTTCTGGTACACATATCCACCTGCTCCGCCCCATCCTGAAAAACACACACCACATTATTAAGCCAACAACAAATTAATCCAAGTGAACTCAAATGCACACTCTGCACCGTGATAGAGCTTCATGCCCGTTATAAATCCTTCATTAACTTTTATTTTCTTTTGTGTTGACCTTAAAATTGGAATGAAAATTGAGGGAAAGCCATTTTCTACATTAATAGAAACAAATTGTATTATGACAGCCACAGTAGGCCTGAAAATCTTAGTACATTTTGCACATAAAAGGCGAATCGAGTTTTACTCTTGTATGCCAAATTAACTAGATGCTTTTCACCTGTTTACAATAATCTCGAATTATTTTAAAAAACAAGGAGAGATGCATGACAGAGAGTTGGAAGATGGGTATATATCTTGGAAGTAGAGAAATCTGGAACGAATAGAAGACTCAAATTTGTCCATGAGTTTTAAAAATCCAGTAAATGGGCATTAATGCATGCATGTATAATGTTTAACAGCGAGATTTACTTTCCATATATTGGATGTTTTGAGAGGATATGTTTCAGGATACACACATGCAGGCATTGCACTTACCAATAGAAGGGGAATCAGACTTTGCTCCATTAACAGCTGGTTGACTATTTATCGTGAGAAAACCCTTTGAGTTCATGTTCACCAACTGTTCATTGATGATCTTTGTCTCTGGCTGAAGGCCATCCAACTCTGACCAAGGGCTGCTTCTCAGTTTCCCAAGGCAGTATTTCCAAAATTTCTGATATGTACCAATTCCAAAAGGGCCATTTAAATGGGAAATTATTTTTTATTGGCATTCAGAGATGGGATAAATTAGTTGAAAACCATACCTCATGAATATCTTCAACATTCTTCAAAGGGACAGCCCATTCGTCATGAAGTTTCTTGTCACGTGCACGGGGTCGCATGAACTGTTGGAAACATCACAAAATAGCCACATGAGAAAGAGATTGATGAAAGAGGAGATGTTCTCAACAACAACAACAACAACAAAAAAACAAAACAAAAGCAAAAAACAAAAAACAAAAAAGCCATAAAGATTTGAAGAAACAACAAAAAAGAGAAGAAAATAATCTCATGAACATTATGTTGTGCATAGAAAAATCTAAAAGAATGTGAATTCTGTAATCCTTGTCGTGTTGTGTCGGTGTGTCCTAATCTTGTGGTACTCTTATGTGTCCATATATGTGCTTCTTAGTTTCTAATAGTTGAAGGTAAAATATCAAATGTTAGGCACTAATCCCTAACTCAGGGCCGGTGACATGAATCTGTCTCGATGAATCGTGTCTATGCAAAGTTATATCCTTGGTAAAATCCAAGGCAGCTGCAACGTCTCATGTCACGTCAATTAATGTCATTTTTTGGCCTTCCCCTTGTCCTTTTGACACCTTTAACTATAATCAAATTGCTCCTTCATACCAGCATGTTAGTTAGTCCACATTACACATGGTCAGCTAAATCATCTCAAACAACTTTTGACGAGTATGGAAAGAAGAAAAATTGCCAAGTCCAGAATTTCACATATAGCTTGCATAGGGCTTTACAATCATGTTTACGGTTAATTTTAGTTTTATTTTTTTATATTTTACAGGTTAGAAATGCTACTAGACAAACTTATTGGCTTTTATTAGGTTTTAGTAATTATGGTGTAATTTTGCAAATTGCTAGACATAAGGCTGCACGGATCACCCATGAATCAATTTGTTGGTTAGATTAGGTTTTCAGGTCTCATACATGGCTATTATTAGGTCCAAATATGTCATTTGTCAAAGTTTCTTAATTTCCTAATTTAGAAGTTATAAACTAAAAAATTTATCAAAACCCCAGTAGCTTATTATTTTAACTCTTTGTGTAATCCCTATATGAAAAAAAACTATTTGTGTAATTCCTTTTTCTTATAAAGTTGAGTTTTAGAGAATTAGTGTGAAGACTATGTGATTTTGCATAATCTTTTGTCCAACTTTGCCTTTGGGGGGTCATTTTTGAGGAATTTAGGTGGGATTCCTAGAGCCTTCTTCTTCCTCACCTTTTGCCAGTCCTTCCATGAAAATGCCATTCTTGAGTTATTTCTCATAGGAAAGCAATGTCAAAACCCAAATCATCCCCTAGCCCATAGTTGTCAATCGTATTGTGAATCGAAATCCTAATTTAGTAAATCGTGAAATTGAATAGAGAATCATTAAAATTCAGTACAGACAATAAAAAATGATGTCAAATAATTGTATATATGAAAAAACAAATGAAATAAATTGATTTTGTCACATGTTATAAAATAGTTATTATGCAAGGACATGTTTACAACATCTAAATTGGAAGACATTTCCCTTAGTAGTAAGAGAAGCGAGTCCAAATCCCAAGAACCACAAAATTATTCACAAATATAATATAATCTCTCTTGACATTCAAAAAATAGAGCTAGGAACCCCCTATACAGAGTATAATAAGTGAAATCCATTAAGGAATTTGTTGTTATTTTGTTGATCAAAGGGTTTTTAATAGAATCCAATCAAAAGTAGTCACCTTCTTAGAAGTGTCCGTGCTTCTTAGAGGAGAGCTAATTTGCTACACGTGAAGGGTGGTAAAGGACATAGCGGCCATATGCACATAACCCCTTTAGTGATAACTACTTAACCCCTTGTGGTTTGAGAGCTAAAACACACCACTAACTTTCTATCAAGGATACTTGTAAATTGACCTAAAATACCCTTATCTTCTTCTCTTCTAAACTAAATCATTCACTTTACCACTTGTGGTATAGGTTATTTGCACATAGCCTCTTGTCATTTAGAATATAGAAGTGCATAATGCACTGTTCATTAATTTGAATGGAAACTATGATGGTGCCTTTTAGTCTACAAATTATAGGGATTAAAAGTGATTCTCCAAATGATAGGTGGTTATTATGGGCACATGGCCTATGGGGGATAAAGTGAAATTTGCCCTAGAAAAAGAAAGCATAATACCTTACATTAATTAGAGAAAACTTCATTCAAAACAAAATTATAAGGGGTGGCAACATCAAAAGCAATGGTTATGTCAAGCCATGGGCTATGTTACATGGACTTAACTAGAGGTGTCATTTATTTCCGATGTACCCGCATAAAAAAATAAAAATAAATAAGTAGGGTTATCAAGTATGGATATGTGTCCAAGTGTATGATTCATCTACTATCATGTCTAAGGACACACGAAACACGACAAAATATGCAAATTTCTTAATATGCTTCTTTTATTTTTTAGGATAAAATAGTGTTCACAAGGCATCATATATCATTTCATGCATAATATGAGATAGCTTAATGGTTAACCCAAATTACCAAATATGCTGGTAGATAAATTTCCAACTACAAGTATCGAACACGCATTCCATTCCCTCACCCAAGTGTCAAGTGTTTGACACAAGTACTACATACATTTAAAAGAAAGTAACATAGGCCATAGGATATCGATCGAATTTTCAAGCTTATCTGGGCAAATACTTTTAAAGGAATCAGGCATTAACACCCACAATCCAGTCATCACCATAAGGCTAAATGTAGGTATATTAACAATTATGAATGGAAGTACTTCAGGTTGGACAAATGGACTTTGTTTTTAAATTTTTTATTTACTTTTAATTTATTTATTTATAAGTGGCATAGTTTGTAAGCTAAGCGTAGAAGATCAGTTCAAAATCTCATAATGGAAGTAATAGGGCCCTTCCCACAACTTGGCTGCTAACAGTCATCCCAAGCGGAGTATTTACAATGGCAGGGCTTGATCTTGGTGCAATCTCTTTAATCTCAGCTCAACTAATATGGACAAGAAAATTGTTGCTGTCTTGTTGGTCATACCTGTGCATGGAGCCATATATCATGTAGACCCACTAGTTGCACATGTTTTGTGCCAACTTCCTTGAAATTAAAACCAATCAAGACAAACGAAGAAAAAATGTGACAAACCCTTGGCTGTCATTGATAGCACACAAGCTCACATATAAAGATAACATAAAATCATAATGTTCGACTAGCATTAGAAGCAAGTAATAAATGACAAATTACAAACTGCAGAATAAGCACGCTGGATCGTAGTTAGCATGTTGGACTAAATAACAAAGAAAACATATTACTGCTCGGCATATATTAAAAAAAAAAACAAAAAAAAAAAGAAAGAAAAAAAAGGAAGCCATGAACAACTACACTAATATCAAAGCTAACAACCAAAAAGATTTGATACCTGATGGTCAGTCAGTGCTCCATATGATGCATTATGAGAATAACCCCATCGCCCATGTGGATATTGTTCCCAACCTATTGTCCTTGATATGTAGCTTTTTGGACGATTAGCCCTACCATCATTGTTAGAAACAGGTCAGACGTTTCACAAGATTTACAAAAGAATTTATATAATGCAGGATACCGTAAGTAGTGTTAAAACTATTTTCATGTTGCCTACCAAAATATTGGCCTAACATCTTCTTTAACACGGAAAACATTTGCAGGGCGTCTCCACGGTAAGGGCCTTGAAATTTTGGTTTCTTCAATCAGTCCAAGATTCTGTCAAGGTAAGTCTATCCAGTAAGGCACAACTACAGATATAGACATAGTTTATACAAACAATACTGTTGACTTTTCGAGAGAAGATATTTTTATATTGTTAGCGGGAGATAAGAATAAACCATTAATATTGCCAATGCTGATTTTTCCATGTTTAACGTGTAAATATGCAATGTCTTGATTCCGTTAGCCATTATCTTCTTGCACATTTCAGTTCCGAGGTGAATTCCATAAGCTCTAACAGCTTCTTCATTGTCCTTGATAGGCTCCAAGGCAGCAGTAACCTCAGCTGGTATCTGCCAATACAATTAAATACAAGTGCATTTGTAATAAAATGGCAGGATAAACCGAAACAACCTCCATGATGCCACATCAATAACAAAATACACTTAAAAAAATGAAAGTTTTACATTTGTGGGAAGAAAATAACAAGTAGATTTGGGGAGCACATTCAAATGTCGGTTCTCCAGATGAGGCTCTAATATTTAAGCATCAGCCTTAAGATTCTCTCTGAAATTTGACAGACTAATGTTTCAATATGCTTGCCTAAATCAATGTGTGATGTATGACCATTTTTTTTTTTAAAAAAAAATATTATGTGATGTATGATCATTAGGAGGTGGTAAAAAGGCTGGTTGATGATACTTGATAATAAAGCTGAAAATGGTAGTCTAGAAGGTTTAACACCGCACTTAAATGTGCTCAAGATTGATGCTTTAACCATTCACTGATGGAATTGCCAGTAAACGCTTCTTGTTACCGATGATAAAATAGAGAATCTACAAATTGAGTGAATTCTTTTAACCTCGCCATATATAAAAAACACAACATGATGCAATTGCAAATAAATGTTCATATAATACTTCCCAAGTGATCAAGTATTTTGCAAATTTGATCTCAATGGTCAATACTAAATTAAAATTTTCCTCTAGCTCATTGGTCCATTAATTTAAGTTCATTATTAACAAACGTCTATCTAATAGTAAACACATGGTAGATTAAATTTCAAAATTTGTTAGAAGATTAAGCACTGCAAGGCGGGAAGGCCAAAATTAGAAATAAATCAAGAAAGAAATAATTTATGAATTAATGCATAAATAATGTTGGAAGTAGCATACCTTAGTTCTGCAAAAACCGGTCATGCGGATGAAGCCCTTATAGTTATTAATGGGCATAATACCCGGAACGATGGGACAATTTATTCCAATTTGACGGCAATCATTCACAAACTTGAGGAAGATATCAGTATCGTAGAAAAGTTGAGTGATAATAAGATCAGCTCCAGCATCAACCTGTAAAATGAACACAATATTAATGAGACAAGTCTTAAGAGGAGGAGCATATATTTTTTTCAAATAATAACAAACAATACCTTTCTCTTAAGGTATTCAAGGTCGTTCTGATATGCCTCCGGTGTGGCCAACCCATCACTTTGGATGACATCAGGATGTCCCTCTGAAAAGAAAATAAATTATTATCAACATTTATTTACAGCTCTTCTTTTTTTAAGAATTAAATAATATGAAAAAGAAAGCACTAGAAAGAAATTTAAAATTAAAAAAAATTACGAAAAAAAAAAAACCTGGATAACCAGCAACGGTTATGCCGAAGTAGTCACCATATTTGGATCGAATATGTTTAACCTGTTAAAAATAAAAGAAAAACTCTATTCATTCTATGGTACATATGCACCATATAAAATGGCATAACTCTATATTTTTGAATCATTATTAAAAAAATAAATAAAAAAAATTATAGGATAAATTACAAACACACCCATGAAGTTTACTTAAATTATAAATTATCCTGTGATTCTAAAAATTACATTATGCCCCCTAAGGTTTCTAATTTCATAACAAATAAATCCTTTTATTAATAAATCATCAATTAACAATTTTTAATAATATTAAAATTTTATTTCAATTAATAATTCAGATAAATTTATTATTGTATAGATGAATAGGTAGAAATTTTATTTTTTCAATTAATTTATGTTAAATAAAAATTTCTGACAGATTATATGGAGTGTAAATTTAGTAACAGTAACAATGAAAGTAGAGGAGAAGTGAAGATTGAGAACCAAGAACCGCCTATGAGTGAACATTTTCGTTATTTAGGGTCGATTATCACAACAGCGGGAGAGATTGATACAGATGTGGCCCATAGGATTAAGGCGGGATTGTGTAAATGGAGAAGTGCATCTGGGGTATTGTGCGATAAACGAATACCCATTAGACTAAAAGGTAAGTTTTATAGAACGGCTATTAGACCAACTATGTTGTATGGGACGGAGTGTTGGGCAACCAAGAAACAACATGTAGATAAGATAAGTGTGGCTGAGATGAAGATGCTAAGGTGGATGTGTGGTAAGACTAGACAAGACAGGATTAGGAATGAGTATATTCGGAAATGGGTAGGAATAGCACCGATAGAAGATAAGTTGAGAGAGAATCGTTTGAGATGGTTTGATTATATTCAACGGTAACCAACAGAGGCAGTAGTGAAGAGATGCGATACTGTAACGGTAGATGGAAGTATTAGGGGACGGGATAGGCCTAGATTAACGTTGACTAGCGTTATAAATAGTGATATGAATCTACTTAATTTGACTAATGAAATGGCCTTTGATAGGGCCTCGTGGAGAAGAAGGATTCATGTAGCCGACCCCATTTGATGGGACTTAAGGCTTGGTTTGGTTTGATACATAGAATAATTCATATTTTAAACAAATCTCAAAGTGTATTTGGAATTTACCCTAAATTATAACTAAACACAAAAAAAAATATAACCAAATATCAAAATAATATAATAACTTAAAAAGAGAATTTGCATAACTAAATCTGCATATAATATGTGTGATATGTGGAGGTATATAATAGAATTCTCATTCATTCATATATAAAATTCATACAACCCAAAAAAAAAAAAAAAAAAAAAAAAAAAAAACACGAGAATGTGCTAGTGTCATTTTTGTGAATATAAGTAATCTTTAAAGTGTTTCTGGATCTGCAAAATTTTTAATATGTATATCATTAATCAAAATTAAAATTAACACAAACAAAAGCAGAGTAGAGTAGAGTAGCATCAAAAATAGAAATGAAATTTAAGCATATTCCAACAAGATAGCCAAAGATCAAATAGTGCAAGAATAGAATAGAACAGACCAGATCGAGGGCACAGGCGAAGCCGCCTTGGACTTGGACGAACTTGTCCTGGCCGTGAGGAGGGTCGCCGCGGAGGGCGAGGACGTTCTGGATGCCGTTAGATTTGATGGAATCGAGGGCGTGGTCGATCTTCTCAACGGGCATGTTGGTACAGGTGAGATGCATCATGGTCTCCACGCACACCATGTTCTGCATTCTGTTGGATATCTCCAGAGTCAGATCTGCTGTGGATCCACCTGCTCCCCATGTTATGTCGCAGAATGATGGATTATGAATCACCATTCTCTCCATCCTCTCGAACAGATTCTCCACCCCATCTTCCGTCTTCGGCGGAAAGAACTCGAACGAGAACACCACTTTGTCTGCTTTTTCAGCCTCTCTCATCTTCTCTATCACCTTCATTTTCGATCCCCGATGATCTACCCACTCAAATCAAATGCTCCACCAGATCAAGAACAAGGATTGGATTGGATAGGATAAGAAAATTGCTTGCACAAATAAATAATAATGTTGATTACGCTGGCCTGGCCTGTTTATATGCTTGGCTACAAGGCCAAACGATGGAGATCTACTTCGAGGATCCCTCGCTCTCCTCTCACTCAACAACCCCCAGAAAGTGACACGTCTAACACAGACAGAGTAAACTCCACCAACACCTAAATCAATTCTTTTTATTTTTCAAAAAAATAATTAATTACATGATATTCTTATTTTTGTAACTAGGGCAAATTATATATATCGAGATTTGATTAAATTACAGATATTTTCTTGAGATTTTAAAAATTATATCTTGTCTTTTAAGATTTATATTTTCATAACAATTTGTTCCATAAGATTTATATTTCGTAATAAATTACCTCCTAATTTGTTATGCAAATATAGCATTTAAGAAAAATTTATAATTTCTCAAACTTTAAAAATACTTGTAATTTAGCCAAACTTAATTTGCCCTATTATTTAAGGTACTCAGCGCGGAAAGTCTACTCCCTCACCAACTCAATTTGGGTTATTTACGCTCACATCCTTCATGTTTACAAAAAAAAAAATAAATAAAATAAAAATAAGACAAATGTGTTTAGTTGGAAATTTAAAAAGAAAAAGAGAACAAATAAGTGATTTTTAAATAAAATATATTTATATTTCACTTAGTTTCACATATTTTTTTAAAATTTTTTCCAAAAATTTTCAACCAAATACAACATAAAAGTTCTTTTAATTTTCTTCAAATTTTATTTTGATCCTTAGTATTTTAATTTGAACACAATTGCCTTTTAAATATTGTTTGTTGGTGTCAAATAAGGATAATTATGGATGGAAATTAAGTTTTTAAATGGAAAATGATCACATGCATTGCATATGACCATTTTTTAAGGGCAAAATAATCTTTTTATCTTTCCCTCTATGTAATTCATCATCTTTCTTTTTTTCTACCATCACCACCTCCAAACATTATCACTCTATGCATAGCTACCAATGACCAACAAAACACCTCCTCTTCCACACCACCACCTCATCAAAATAACTTTAAACCAGCAAAAAATTCAATCCAAATCAGTAGCAAATCTCGTTATTCTACCAATCCAAAATTCACCTCCCACCATCCTTGAACCACTATCAGAGCATCACTGTCAAACTCTCTTCTTCCTGCTTGTAAGGCCCCAGTGTCCCACATCGGGAATGGAGGAGGAGTTCCTGGGCTATAAAAGTAAAAACCTGGACCTTTATATAGCATCGAGGTCTTTTTCCCAGGTAGTGAAATGCCTATTAGAGCTCCCCAGTTAAGCGTGCTTAGGCTGGGGTAGTTCTAGGATAGATGACCCACTCGGAATAACAAATCCGTGCGGGCGTGGCCCAAAGCGGACAATATCGATGACATGTGAAGGGTTGGGGCGTTACAAATGGTATCAGAGCCGACTCTCCGGAGTACTAAGTGTGGGCCCCTGGCGTCTCTCGGTGTATGTAGGCGGGCTTGCGAGTTGGCAAGCTACTGCACGGGGACGTGCAGCCTTATAGGGGGTGGATTGTAAGGCCCCAGTGTCCGACATCAGGAATGGAGGGGGAATTCCTGGGCTATAAAAGTAAAGACCTGGACCCTTATATAGCATCGAGGCCTTTTCCCAGGTGGTGAAATCCCTATTAGAGCTCCCCAGTTAAGCGTGCTTAGGCTGGAGTAGTTCTAAGATTGGTGACCCACTGGGAAGAAAAAATCCTTGCGAGCGTGGCCCAAAGCGGGCAATATCGATGACATGTGAAGGGTTGGGTCGTTACACTGCCACTCTCACCACCCTAAATCCAACTTCAAATCCTCTCATCGAAATCTGACTCTTCAACAAAGCAAACTATTGAATCCACTCTAGCAACTTGTAGTGAAAAACTTTTACATACACACAATTATATACAGATTGAAATGGGTTTGACCAATATGCTTAATTCTTTTGCTTGTCTCATATAAACACACAACATATATATATTGAATTTGTGGGGAAAAATGATGGGTTTTGTGCAATTATTTTGCTTTTGTTTCATATATATTTACACAACGCGCGCGCACACACACATATATATACATGTAAATTTGAATTGAATTTTATGGATTGGAATGATAGGTTTTATGCAATTACATGTAGAAATAGTTTATAAGAGATTTAACAATTAGGTTTTAGTGGTTGATGGTAGGATCTTAGTGAAGATAACAATAGAGCAATTAGAGTCTTTCTCTTTCTGTTTCAATCGATATATATATATATATATACACACACACACACACATAACTCAATCCCATAATCTCAATTGATTACAAACCAAATTTCTACCAATTTCAACATAATATATTATGCTTGAAGAGGGGTAGTCTGCGTAAGGAGGTGGGTAGAGTGATTTGTGAAGAAAGTGGTTGTGTAATGGTGTACGGCAAGAAGGAGATGAAGAGTGGTTTGAGTAAGAGTGAAAAGAAATTGATGGACAATAGTTTGATCTAAGAAAGAAAGAGAGGGGAAAGTGAGGTTATAGGTGAAAGAGATGGAACGTGGAACACGTGCTCTTGTGTTGTCATGTGAATTGGTAAATCTGGGGGTGATATGGGGTTAGTAGGTAAGCAAGGTGAGTGAGTCAATTCAATAAGTGACAAAAAGTGAATGAACTCAATAGGCCGGTGTATTTTTCATTTTTGTCCTTAAAAGATTGTCATGTGCAATGCACGTGACCATTTTTCATCCAAAAAAGTTAGGGCAAATTACATATACCCCCTTGAGGTTTGGCTAAAATACAGATACCCCCCTGAGGTTTCAAAAATTACATCACGCCCCCTAAGGTTTGTATTTTCATAACAATTTGCTCCCTGAGGTTTAAATTTCATAACAAATTACCCCCTAATTTGTTATGCAAATATAGCATTGAGGGGGGAATTTGTAATTTCTCAAACCTCAGGGGGGTATTTGTAATTTAGCCAAATCTCGAGGGGGGTATATGTAATTTGCCCAAAAAGGTTAACTTTCATTCACAATTGTCCTTATTTGACACAAAAATAAAACTTGAAGGACAAATATGTTCAAATTGAAGCATCAAGGTGTAATTTGTCCAAAAAAATACCATAAATCTTATAATTTTTATGTAATTACATTAACCTCCTTTTTAATATAATTAAAGAGATCAAGATTAATATCAATAATAAGTAAATTATATAACTAACAATTATAGATGGAACTGCCTAAAGTATTATATGAATTAAAATCTTGAAGAAAATTAGTGTAAATATATCAAAAGTGTAGGATTAACTATATTTTATTTAAATATCAAGGAAAGTAAGTGTAATTTATCTAATCAATTAAGAAAATAAAAAATCTATACTATGTACTATATATATAACCAAATGTAGTTGGTATGTCAAAAGATTTCAAAGCTTGAATCTTAAATTCTCATAATTTTGAAAAGAAAAAAAATTACATGGCACCTCCCTTCTCACTATTCAATTCTTCTCACTCACTCTCCCTATATAAAATACAAAATAAAAATAAAATAATAAAGTATTCATTTATATTCATCACTCACTATAATATTTATCTCGCTCTCAATTTAATATCACATTATTCAAAACAAAAATAAAAAGAAATCCATAACTCCTACAACTCCCATCCATCATCGACAATAATATCGATCTCACTCTCAATTTAATATCATGTTATTAAAAACAAAAATTAAAAGAAAAAAAAAAAAGAAACCCACAATTCCTACACCATCCATCACCCACAATAATATCTATCCACTCTCAATTTAATATCACGTTATTAAAAACAAAACTGAAAAAGAAACTAAAACTCCCACAACTCTTATACACACGTTTCTCTATTCAGTTTATTCTAATCAAAGTCAATTATGCTCTCTCATCTACCAATTTTTTCTCAGAATAATTAATTTTCTCCATTATCACATTTTATAGGATCAGTATAACATTATTTCTTACTTTAGATGCATTTTTTCAGTATTTGCTACTGTTACAATATCTAAAAGAGATTAAAAAATATATATCATATCATGTGTATATTCAATATTGTGTATTTCTTACAATACAATGAAGGCTCAAACTAACTAATTTATTTTTCACAATTCAAATCAAATGTGCTTACAAATTATATGTAAACTTAATTAATAATTACTCCTAAAAATGCTAGAAAAATAATATTTAATTTGATATTTTGATGTAGTTGTTTAATTTTTATTTGGGATTATAGTTTTATTTTAATTTTCTTCTTCTTTTCTCTTTTTCAATAGGTTGGGTGGGTTTTTTTTTAATGCAAATTGAATTTGCTAAATTATAAAATAACACGACCAATTTTTATTTATTTTTTATTTTTGAGTTTGTAATAATTTTCCCCATGTCTTAAATGTGTAAGTAAATTTTAATATATAATTTTAGTGATTATATATGCAAGCATAGTTTTTGTCAATAAGAAGAACTCACCACCGAAACAGGAAAAAAAAAAACCATATTTTACTTTCCTAAAAATTAAGAAAAAAAAAATTATATCCAAGTTACCACCAAACTCATCCAAAATTTCACTACTTTGTCAACTTTAAATTGAAATCTGAAGAACTCACCTTCGCTAGTTAAGATAGAAAATTGAGATTGAGGTAGTCGTCTAGTGTGAAACAAATGTATTATCCAGCGTTGGCTTTTGAATTGTGAAAGAGATTTGATGCCAAATCTTAAAATTTTGAGCTCAATGGTAGGGAAGGTAAGGCGATAATGGCAGGACTAGTAAGATAAATATCAAATCTAAGTTAAGGACCAGATCTAGAGGATGATAGAAGGGGAAAACCACAACTGTCTCTCTTTTCCCTTACAGGAAAATTTAAATAGAAGAACTTTTCTTATGATTATGTATTATAATCTTATATATTCTTAAAAAATAAATGAAAAAAATGTATATGTAAGAATCACATTTATCTAGTTATGGCTCAAATTACATTACTTTTAAATTTATATTATACATTTTCAAAAGTAAAATTTGGAATATTTAAAAAAAAAAAGAAGCTATTATACATAAAAGACCTTAATTCAAATATTTCCCCTCAAACCCCAAGGATCAAACAGCCAGTCCCTCATTCAAAAAATAAATAAATAAA